TAAAATGTATTATTGTAAGAAGAATATCACTAACTTGTAAAATACGCGAAATTATGCATAATAAAACAATAAAAGGCAAGATGTACTCGCAAGACCACTGAACCAAACAAACTGACATGCACACAGATTTCTTAGAAAACTAATAATATAGATTATTATTGAAAGTACACTTCCATTCACTATGATATCAAACTCGTTATGAAGACGTACAATGAAAAAAAGACCCTTGAAACAGCAAGAAGAAATAAAATATTCAGTAATTTGCTTGTAACAACTATTTATTGAGGTAATCGCTCGTACACTGTAATGAAAGCGATTACCTCAATAAACGGCCATCTTAGATTTTGACCGTGATCCATGGAGGTCATCGTCGTGCCATCTCTATGTAATAATTATTGTATGCATAAGAATATAATTACTATTAAAAATTTTATCGTAGAATAAATTATGTTTCAGAATTCGTTATATAAAATTTAAATTTATGTTTTTATTTTTTCAAATTTTTTACAAATAAATTCAGCGTTATCATCTCAAATTTTTGAGTTTATAACGGTTGATTAATTTGGTCATAATTTGGCTAGTTAAATATATAAATATAAAGTAATTTCGCTAAAGGTATGCGATTAAGTCGCCATCTTGTAGTAAATTTAATAATTAGAGTTAAATTAATTAATATAATTTATAATTGTTTAGAGAGAGTTGAAAGGCACACTTAGCTGTATTAAAGCTGTACTTAGCTGTATTAAAGCCGCTTTACTAGGCAACGCGCCTGTACAGTTAATGTTAACAATACAGTTAATATATCTGTTATTTTGTCTGTCTGTTTCCACTGTAATCATTCTATTCTTTTTTTCTTCTGAAAAAATGATCTGACAAGATTCATTTAAAAGCTATTTCATTCTGTCACAATTTGTTTCTATTTTTTTCTAAGTATGTTACCATAGAAAATTCGATTACTCTAACCGACTACAACATTTACAACGTCATTATAATTCGAAACGCTTTATTAAGAGCGTTAATTAATCGTAAAAGTAGAATATATTTTTTAAAATGGGTCAAAATTTAATGAAAATTAATTTGTGACGCGTTTTATCGATTATCCTTAATATAAAATAGCCTATATTTAAGTAACAGTAAAATGGGTTTAGACCTATAGTTTTTTGTTACACTAAATTGGGTAAAATGGATTTATATAGTTCTTTGTTATGCTCTAAAACTCTTCATAAAGTTAGAAATTTATAAGAAAAGATATAAAAATAAAATTTAGACGTTTTATAACGAAGTATACTTTATTTTTTTACGGATAGCATCGAATCTCCCAAGAACGGCACCACTAAACAGTGACCATTTTTTCAGGAACGTTCCTTTTAAAATGCTCAAAAACACATAAAAAAGAAGCAAACATGTCCTTAATATAGAATTTTTATAAGTAAATGTACTGTAAAAGGTGATCATAATTAATTAAAGAGTAGGCGTCAGAGCTTTGTAGAAAGAACTGTTGGGAAAATGTCAGCCAAATTTGGTATAAATACTGTCCTGAGTATGAGGTTTCAATTTTCGGAAAAAAATTATACTTCAAAATTCAGCCGCTAGGGAGAAATTTTGCGCTGTTATATCTATAATGTGCATATCTAACATATTCTAACGAATGACTTTTTATCCGTCAAAGAATTGTGAAACTCCTTTTATACGCGAAATACGTTAGAAAACGCACGTAATATGGATAGCGGTGCAAGATTTTGTGCTGGCGGCTGAATTTTTAATTAAAATTGATTCTCAAAAATGGAAATCGCATACTCAGGGCAGTATGAATACCAAATTTGGTTAAGACTTATCCAATAATTATTTCTACAGAGAACTCAAACACCTACGCTCAGGATCGTCGATAGAAGATTTTTTCCCAAAACAGGAGTTTGTAGTGTTTCCTACCCGTGTAAATTAATACTATTTTTTCCAACAAATAAATAAAATCTGTAAGGCTACTTTTTTGATTGATGAAGAAACATTCTTTGTATTTCATTTGTTCAAAAAAGGGGGTTAAAGGAGCCTGCAAATGGGCAATTGGAGCCCATACAAGCTTTCAATGGCCCTACAGGCAGTCATTAAAATAACGCAATTGCAAGTATCTAATGGATCATTTAAAGGAAGAGACATATGTAATGTATTTACAGCTTTGTTATTTCCTTAAAATATCTTGAATTATCTAATTTAATAAATAAATTAATTTATATACTCCTAAATTTTGATTTTCCTATCAACAGAAGCTTAATTTTTCTCACTTTTTTAGATATTATTAGATATACTGTATTAGATATTAGCTATGTCTAGTTTTGTTTTTAAGCTTCCATCGCCCAAAAATATGAATTATAAAATTATCAGAATATTTCTTTTCAAATTAACAAATTCTTAATTATATACAATCAAACCTCTGAACAACGGCCACTGGCAAACACATAAAAAAATAAAAATAATAATAAATAAATAACCACTGTTAGGTGTCCGCTGTTGGAGGTTCAACTGTATTCAATTATGAATTTATGATAATGCCCTTTTAAATTTATAATGATCCTTATATATGTATAAATCTGTTATAAATTATTAATGAATTTATTAATTTAGAGCTGAAGTGGGCTCTTGCTAATCAGTGTCACACATCATGTTTTCCTGGTTACTTCGGTTTCAATTCTGTTTACAGTATTATATGTCAGCGCGCCTCCAAAAGAATCAATACCAAAGGGCACAGGGCGTCATGTATTGCTTTCAGTAAGACTTTAGGTTCAACTGTCTCGCTAATCAGTGCAATGTGTGCCCGGATTAGCGAGAGTCGAACATACTTTGATTTCTTAAAGTACGCTCGACATATATTTCAATAATGAAATAAAGAATTCTTTCAGTTTTCAGTAGATAAAAAGTAGTCCAAAACACCTAAAGAAGGTGTAGATGGATGTAAGCAAGATAACTGTATGTCACTAGTTCCTTTTTCAGAAATTTTTATAATTTTAATTGGATATGTTTTGTGTTTTTTAAAAGGACTCTTTGTAATTTTCCGGCGACAAGCAGCCTACAAAGAAAGGTCAGTCACCGAAAAAGTGTATTGTCTTGGAACACAAATAATAAATGGTGACCCTTTTTGGGCAGTTTTGTCTTCAATTTTATTAAACAATAATTCTCCATCGGACGAACATTTACAAAAGAATTCTTATCAAGGATAATTAAACTTAATACTGTAATATTTTAATAGAAAATCTCAACTAAATTTAATTAACTTTTCTGACTTTAAGCAATTAAAAAATAATCCTCATTTAGACTGTTCCATTTAAATATTTAATTATATTTAGCTTAGGTAGTTAAAATTATTAAATTTTTATATAGGCCTACTTTTATTTCCTTTAAAGCTCGGTAAAATTGAATTTAGATCAAAGTATTAATTAAAAATATAAGTTTGTGTCTTGTATGCCCCTATTCAAAGTACATATTTTTTTTTCTTGTAGTACAACCGAAATTTTCTTGAAATTAGTGACAAAAATAGCATCGTTATTTTTAGTTTTAATATTCAAGTCGATATAAAAACTTACACAGTAAAACCTGTTTAAACCGGAATCGCACGTAACCCAATATTCTTCCCGAGGTTTCCGTCTTAGACAGGTTTTTTAAAACAGAAAATCGCTTCGTTCCAAAGAATTTTTTTCCGTTTAAGCAGTTTTCCGTTATATTCAGGTTCCGTCTTGGCAGGTTTTACTGTATCATAATTTCGGGAGGAGGAAGATGGATCTACTCAAGCTTCCTCCTCCCATTCATATTTAAAGTGGGTTGGGATGGATTTATGCGTAAGATAAACAAACTAGAGCGTAGGGTCTTTATTTTTATGACCTTGCCTCCTTGAATATTGTAGAACAGGATGAAGATCGGATAATCACAATAGCCAGATGGAAATATAAAAAGTAGGCTTATTTGGAGATGGCCGTTATTTGGAGGTTATTTTTGTATTAATTTTTTGTTTAAAAAAGAACGTTCCTGTAAAATGGCTTATATTTAGAGGTGTCCGTTGTTTGGAGGTCATTTCGTAATGCTCGAACAGAGGAAGAGGAAATCGAAAAGGATACTTTATTATTTAATTAAAATAAATTAACTTTTGATACAAAATATGTAAGAAAAATATAATATGAAGATAATCACGAGCATTAATGGTATTTTCCATTTTATTCTATGGAAATTCAGATCGAATCAGTTGAATAAAAGCATAGAAGATGATGAAAAATCTGCGAAGGTAACTTGTCGTCTCGAGTTTAAACAGCGTTTATTTCACAAATAAAACTGCAAAACTGTATATGGAATTCAAGTAGCAAATTTTGTTACATTTTGCTTCCAGATAAACGTACAACAACATTTTAAAAATAGCTATACTGTGACGAATTTAAAAGAATTTACATTTTTCTTACGTCATAGGCGGATGATAGGAAGAGGCAATGTGGGCGAAAGCGATTACTCGCATCTTTATACATTTTAAGTTCGAAATTCATCCTTTTTCCTATTCTAAGGTCGAGATGAAGGATCTAAAAATCCTCGAGTCCTCTGTAGGAGGTCGATTTTCTTCTTCTTCATCCGCAAAACTCCCTGGACTCTACCCAAATGTGTGTTGCGTGTTGTAGATTTATACCTTTAAAATCCGATATATGGAAATATAGAGGGGTGCGAAAGTGTGACTTTTTAAAAGATGAAGGTAGAACCAAAATAAAATCTCAATTGGAGCGAGGGATAAAGAAAAAGATACTTGGCAAAGGATTAATTTTTAATTACAAAGTGTACACGTTAGCAAAACTTTCATCTCCTGTTGGCAGGGAATGAGTGGGGGATGAGGTATTAACTCCGTCTAAACATTCCGCCCTTTAAATAAAACACAAAAATAAATATTTTTTTAATAAAATTTGTCAAAAAAGCTGAAAATTTAATAGAGAGAAGAGGAACGAAGCACGAGAAAGTGCACAATAGCCAGCCGCTTGCATTCCGAGTTAAACGTCTATTCTCAGATTTCTCTCCCTCCTTTTATGGAAGTTGAGGTGCACGTGAGATCGAGTCCGGCACGTGCTCACTGAGGACCCAGGGTTGGTCAGGAGTGGGGGTGGTCTTTGCTAAATAGTAGAAGTGGAGCCGATGACGTAGCAGCCGAGTGTCGACATCTAACGAAGAGTTTTGGGAAGTTTCGGTTGAAAGGTTCGTATAAGCTTTTTGTTCGATTTCTAGAATAATTTATTTCATTTAAAAAAACCCTTAGTGAGTAAAACTTTATTTAAAAAATACTTTACTCTTAAGAAAGTTCTTTAATTGTTTCCGTCAAAGAAACGTTTTGGTGAGAGAAAAATCACGATTTTGCCTCTCGAAGTCTCGAAAATTGGAACATTTCATGTAATTTCGGTCATTTTTCCAATTCTAATCCGTATTTCTCCTTAAAAAAGAGCATTTATGTTTAAAGTTTTTAATAATTTAAAAAATGGACGTCTTAAACAAGTGCAGCATTCATATCCTTGTCTAAGATTTGTAGTGTAGATTGACTTTTACGAAAAATTATTCGTGATATTTCCGCAATCTTGGAAAGTTTTCATCTAATTTCTTTATCATTTTCCAATTGAAGATTAAAATAGACAAATTATCTGATGATCCTAAGCTATAAGAATACAGCAAAGATAAGAGAAAGCCAAGGATACATTTGATATCGAGGAAATTCGTTCTTGCATACACAAAGGAGAAAGAACTCTTTCACGTAACCAATTAGTGATTAAAATCTCGACTTTTTTCTGAAATAAATTATGAATGACAACCTAAATTGATATAATTTATGCAGCGAGAGGATATTCTTTTCTGTAGTTAAAATTAATTATAATTAACAAAATTCGACACGATAATAATCGACGAAAACTGAATTTATTCCGTGGAAAATAAAGGAGTTCCGTGGAACTCCTTTATTTTCGCTCTACCAGACATTTTGGTTGAGCAAAGAAAGATATTTTTATGTTTATATTTTCTTTACTTCTCCTCTTACAGTTATATTTATAGATTATCTTCTATATGTAAGTTTTAATAAGATTAAAATATATTTCTTAGATAAGACGTTCCAAGATGTCCGACGACGAAAGAGAATACAGGTAAACTTTTTTCATTAAAAATTTGAGTAGTTATACTCGTCCTTTACGCAATTATAACTAGACTTTTCTTGCTGATAATTAATATTTTTATTGTTATAATTTAATAATTTATTCGTATAATAAACAGAATTATGTTTATTTTAAATATATTTACGAGAATTTATAAGGTACAGATGATTATGATGCGGAAAAATGTGTTAAAGATGAGGAGGAGCCAAGAGTTTGATTCTCTTAATGCAGCAATAACTGACTTTCTTGAGGATTATTAATATTTTTAGTGTTATAATACATTAATTTATTCGTTTAATAAGCACAATTACATTTATTTTCGATAGATTTAAGAAAGTTTATAAGGTTACAGTTGATTATGACACGGAAAAATGCGTTAAAGATGAGGAGGAGCCAAGTTTGTTTATGATATTTTTCAAACTCGTACCTTAAAATATTAAGACCAGAAAAAATAGAAGAGGAGAGAGAATTTTAAGGAAAATGAGCTTAAAATTTCTTAAAAAATCGAAATGATTTGGAAACTAGAGCAATTAAAAGTTGAGAAATGCCAGGAAATTAATTAATTAAAACGTTTTACGGTACATTTTCGAGGAAGTTATATAAATATAACATTCATTAATCATAAAAGTGGAGTTAGAATTCATATTTTGGCTTAGGGGGTGAAGTGCTGAGAAAAGTGAAATCCGAGTTTTGCGGTGGAAACAGCTGCAGATGATAAATATAGAAAGAAACAACTTAAAAATATAACCGTCAAGAACTTATTTTGACTCATCCATGCCAGAAAGATTGTGAGAAATAAAATCATCTTCGAGTTTTCTTACCGGGATTGCCGTGAAAGCGGTTGATGGGGGTTATCGTTCGTTTCTCGTGTGACGTGTCATTTGTAAGTTTTATGTATTTCCGGCATCGAGATACGTCACCGGTTGCTTAGCAACGGCGCGACATTCAATCCTGTGTTTATAGAAGAGTGTTGCCATTTAGGGCATTGATTTTTACGTCGCTCCGATGACCAAAACCCTCCTTATTTTGCCACAGTGCTCCTTCGACGACATTCTACACCTTTCACCCTCTACTCTTGTACAATGCGCTATTTTCATGTTGAATGGATCTTTATGAGAAATCGTTCCTTTGCCTTATTGTTTTATATCATAAATAAACTCGTGATTTTAGTCATTATCTATTGTTTAAATCATTTAATGAATATCTGTTAGCGCCATTTTCTTATTTATACATCTTTTCAACTCGTAAAATAATCTCGATTTGGTAATATAAAAATGTTTAAAATTCCGAAAAGGTATTAAAATTAAGATAATTTTAAGAAATATTTATCCATTTTTTTAATATTTAAACAATCTTATTATTATTACTATATATAGCCTACGCCTTATTAATTCTTTATTTAGTACTTTAAAATCCTTATTATTTTTTGACAAAGTACTCTAAAAACCTTATCTTTCTTCATTCAACAATAATTAAAAGCCTTTTAAAAATAGCCCTTATTCAGCCTTTAAAAATCTTGATTCTTACTTTTCATGGCAGCTTAGTACTTCTTTATGTAATAATTAAAAACACTTCATTAATCTCCTATAAAGTACTTTAAAACCTTATTATATCCTTATTCAGTACTTAAAAAACTTTATTATTTCCTTATTCAGCTCTTAATAAACCTTATTAATACCTTCTACAGATTTTAAAACCTTATTATTTCTGTATTTATTATTTAAAAGTTCTTATTAGTACCCTATACAATACTTTTAAACCTTATTTCTTTATTCAATATTTTAAAACATCATTTTAAAGCCTAAAACAGCTTATACTCTTATTTTCTTCCCTTCTCGCGCTTATCATTTGTTTTAAAAACGAAAATTTATTTAAAATAATATCAAACATTTTAATTTCGATCTTTATTTTTACTTCACAAATGTCAAAGGGATTAATTTTCAGAATAAACATAAGTGACAGAGAAAAAAATGAAGCGAAATAGCTTAGAGATATTTTTAATTGTGAGTTTTCCAGAGTGATAAACCGCACAACATCATGATACACGCGAATAGAAATCATGTGCAGTACTTGAACATGAGTTTTAAAGAGTGGCATTTCGAAAGAAAGGAATGTTTCATCCTTTTTTTTCATGCCAATGGTAGAAAATACAATAAATATTTTCTGTCAGTAAAATCTACGGATTTTTTCCTTTTTTTTTTTTTTTTATATATGTGTTTGATGCTAGAGAATATGGATATTTTGCCAAATGTTTTTACATCTAGTTAGTAATCTGAGTGCCAAATTATATAATTAAACCTTCTTGACAGTGGCAAAACTAACATTTTGTTCAATGCTTTGTATAGTACATTGCATAATAATATCCCAAAGAGCATAATACATCAGGGTTACTTTCTCTTTCTAGCGGATCCGAGGAAGAGCAGGAGCAAGTAGTCCAGTGAGTAGAACTTTAAAGATCTACGATAGTAATTAAAAATACATTAAAACCTGTCTAGAACGGAAACCTGCCTAAACGGAAACCTGCCTAAACGGAAAAAAATTCTTCGAAACGGAGCGATTTTCTATGATAAAAGAAAACCCATTCGAAACGGAAACCTGCCAAACCGGAAATAATATTCGGTACAGTGCGATTCCGTTTTACACAGGTTTTTACGTATACAGGTTTTACAGGTTTCTTAATAACACTTAAATAAATAATTAAATATTGAACACAGAAATTTAGTAATTTAATTAATTTTACACATTAATAATATATACAATCATTCAGGATTTGTGTGCTAGGATATGAAAATAAAACTTAATTTTTGTAAGGAAATTGTATGAAACTTTTAGTTGATAATTTAAATTAATTACTAATTTAACTTAATTAATAATTTACTTAATGTTTTTATGTATAAAAACAAATAAATTTTAATTTTTTTCTGAAAAAATTGTATAGAAATTTATACAAATATGTGAAAATTTTATAGAAATTTGTGAGAATTCTAAAGAAGTTTTAGAAACATCTAAGAGTGGCTGAAATTTTACAGAAATTTCTCAAAATATTTTTCAGCAACTCAAAAAATTTCAGAAAAATATATTGATACAATCAAACCCCTTTATTACGTTATCGGTTTATGCGAAGTAAATTTGCAACCCTGCGGACGAAGAACAATAGGCATTCCGATGTTAACGAGTTCGATTAATACGAATTTTCTTAATACAAAGTATCAATTTTAAGTCGTATTAACGAGCTTCGGGCTTTGACTTGTAATTAAATATCAATAAAATTTTCTTTTTGTATTTGTACATTTCCAAATCTGTATTTTTGGCTTTCGATTCAAATATATAAGAATTTGAAAAATCCAAAAAAACAAAAAATAAAAAAAAAATATTTGAAAAATGTAAAAATATTTGGATTTTATCCAAATTTTTCTCCCTATCCGAATTTCTGTATTTGTATTTATCCATATTTGTATTCGTGGATCCATATCTAAAACTAAAAAGAAAAGAAAAACAATTTTTAATAAAAATTGATAGAAATTTTAGATATTTTTATAAAGAAAACTTTAATTTTTAATTAATATTATAATTAAATTTAATTATTTTTATTTTTATTTTTAGGAAAAAGTAAGGAAAATAAAATCAAGTTTNTTTTTAAATGTTTTTTTGTTTTTAATTTTAAGAATTAATTAATAACAATATTCTAGGGAAGCGGAACAACCGAAAATATCCGAAGCCGAAATGGCCATGGAAGTATGTCCTATTTTAAAATATGAAAATGAATATAATTATAATAATTTTAATTATAAAATCTTTAATTAATAATTTGATTCTATTAAACATTCCAACAGGAGAAATTAAAGAAGAAGAAGGAAGAAGAGGAACAGATGTGGCAAGAGTACTTGGAACAACGAAAAAAACAACGACAAAAAGAAGAAGAAGATTTGAGAAAATTAAAAGAGAGACAAGTAAATTTTAATTAAGAATTATTAAATTACTGATTTATTGATAATTATTTAAATAATATAATATAAAGTTTGCAAAAAGTTTCATATCAAGAGAAGAGGTGGTGGTGTCCAGGTTTCACGATAACCTATATTTTCCGGGGTCCTAACTATCAAAAATTTGGTGCAGATCAGTTTGGAAGTGTATAGAGAACAGACAGGCTGACAGACACTTTTATAGATTAAGGTCTAAATAAGTATTTGGATCATTAACTTTGGGGAATTTCCAACAAGGTTATCGTTTTCACCAAGTATGCAGATAAACGTTTCCATAAATGTCACTTCAATTGCTTAGAACATATATAATATATTAATATTTATTGCTTAATTGGTGATGCTATAAAACTGGTTTAAGGGCTATATTACAATAATACACAAAGAAAATAACGTGAATTATAATTCTTTTGGTTTAATGAATCAGACTTTTGAACCTTCAAAAAATAATTATATAAATATAAAATATATTCGATAGATTTTTAAAAAAATGATTAATATTTAATAATTGCTCAATAAATAAGAATTATAATTGACAATAGTATTTGCTTCGTTACGTATCACTGTGTTATCTTTATGTCAATCTTTAAGTCAAACTTATTCCGGTTTTTATTGTTTGAATCAGCAAGAATATAAAATTTTTTATTGATTATTTCTATATATAATTTAATCTGAGATATCATAAAGTTATATGCCCCTGCATATAACTTTAGCGGATCTACATAGGGACTAACAGGGCTTAAGCCCTGGCCTCCAAGTGTCAAGGGCCCACAAAAATTGAATTATTATCATAAATTTTTAATACTTTTTCATTAACATTTCATAAATAAATATATTTAAACTGATTTTGATGTTATTAAAAATGAATTTTAAACCCAAATTTAAAGATTTTTAATCTAACAAAAAATGGAGTCCCATTGGACTTTAATAAGCCCTAGGCCCCGAAAAAGCTAGATCCGCCCCTGGTTATATGCCTTATTTTTGAATGAATTTCTCAACATAACAATTTTCTTTACATTTCTCTCTATGTATTTCCCCATATTTTACTTTTCCTGCATAAAACAGATAAAAAAGAGAATAAAAAAATCAACAGGAAGATTAAAAAGTCGAGCATGTTGAAGCGCTGCTCGATTTTTTGTTAATCTTTTTGATCCTATCGACTTTTTGACCATTATCCCCTTTATGATCCGCTTTTTTGATCATCCTTTTGATCCTCCTTTCGATGTTATTGACTTATATATGTTCAGATAAAATACAAAATCATTATATTCAATTATTGAACTATAAACGCTAATTAAATAATTACAAAATTATAAATTATAGCTCTTTATTTGGTATAGGGGATCAGTTATTTTGCGAGATAGTTCTTTAATTGATTCCCTGTAATATCAACCGAATTGTGTATCAAGTCTAAGCGAAAATAAAATAATAATATGAATCATTGGATAAATTCGACTAGAACCATACAAAAATAAGTTTTTATTTATATCCTAGCAGCTTATTCTTCAATAGTAGAATTGGTTTTTAATATTTAATCCAAAATCTGCAAGTTGATACTGGCAATTTATTTTCGGTGAGGGCCAATAAACGATTAATAAATCAAACCTGGTGTCTAAACCTATCCAAAATCTAAAGCGACTTTCGCTCGTGTTTACATAATTCTATTTAAATATAGTTTCTTCAAAACTGGTTTAACTAAATTTAAATAGTAAGTACCCAAAGCCATCAGGCAGAATTCCAAAAACGACGGCTTCGTCTTCCTTATCCTTGAAAGATGAAAATCTATTGAAAATTTTTATATTTTTTCATACGCTCTGCGTGATATAAATCGGTTTTCGGTATATACAAGTTCCGTTATAGACAGGTTTGACTATATATATGCTATTGTATATGCCCACCAGTGACTGGGTGAATAAAACCATTGAATACTGGTTGGTTACGGGTTTGTGCCTCACCGACGGACTGGCCACGTGGAGTTTTCTGGGTTTTTTACACATGTGACATGTCTAATACCTAAATAGGACCAATTTCTCATAGAAAGTTCTCCCCGGAGATATCCCCCCTCCCTTGGCAGATTGCCCATGTGCTGCTTTGCTTTATTTCATCAATATGATATGTAATTATATATGATTAAATAAAAATGTTTAATTGTAAAGAAGTAAAAAACAAGTGTGCATAAAAGAATTACTGTTAAAATATAAATTTAATTTTAGAACAGTAATGGAACACAGGAAAAATTATATAAGTTAGCAGTATTGAAAAATAATAATAATACAATATACAATCAAATTTTTAAACAACGGCCATTTACGGGAACATAACAATATTTTGGAGGGAATATGGAGGTTATTTTATATGCATTTTTAAAAGAAACATTCCTGGAAAAAAGGGCCGCCGTTTAGAGGTGGCATTATTGTAGGTTCGATTGTATTTAGAAATCTTATAGTATAAATGTAACTTATACAAAAGTTATCAAATTCGCACATAGACTTAAACCCTAAACTAAACAATGCACAACTCAATGTCTCACGCTAAGAAGATACAGTTTAAATTTATTGTTTGATGGCGAGGAAGAGTTTCTTATATGTTATAGTTTAGGCCCACAACAAGTCTAAATCCCTCTCTGTTATAGATAATCCACTATGAAATATATCAGAAAAATTTTGAAAATTAGCAGAAGAATAACTGTAACATAAGTTAAATTCTATTACAGTAGAACCTCGAAAACTCGTCCCTCGATAACTTAGCACTCCGGATAACTGGTCCACACCTTGGCAGGGCGAAAAAATCCTTAGTTAATTAATTTTCATTATAGACAGCTTTATAAAAGTATAAAAGCTCTCATAAAGTATTTTTCTGAGGTCTGTCTTATCAGGTAAATTACTGTACATAGTGTATTCATTAATTTTCATTTTCATGTAGTGGCTCTATGTCTTCATAAAGGACGTACTTTTCCTTTGTTTAAGGGTATTTGGGCAGTTTATTCTCTGTTATATTCTGTACAAGTAAATACTGTACAAGTACAGTACAGTATTTTCTGAGGAAATACTCGTACTTATTTTTTTAACCCCATTCCCGATAACTCGGCATTTTCACAAACTCGGCCACCCTTCGGTCCACATTAGGTCGAGTTTTCGAGGTTCTACTGTAATAAATAAATATTACATTGAATAAGAAAGATATTCGTATTTTGAGTCATATCCTGCAAATATTATAAGCATGAATGATACTCTTAATATATTAATTAATTTGATTGTGTTATAAAACTAGAGAAAATATAGGCCTATTAAAATGCTATTTTTAGGTTAGCGTACAGTTAGAGTTGCATTTCGTGGACGTAATCATAGTTTATGAAGCTGATAGGAAATAGGAGGATTGGATTTTACGAAAATTTTCAAAAAAGCAAAACTGAACAAGCGAATAAATGTTTTTGCATGTCAGAAATATTTAAGATTAATCGTAATTTGATTTATATAAATATAAAAATTTTTAATATATAAGAAGTGAATAAAATATTTATATATGTACTACGTACAGTAAAAATTATCCGATGTATCTCCCAAAAGGGGTGAGCAGCCGGCAACAGGGATTGCACTCATACATTTATTCATTTATCAAATTCTTCTAGACTTCTCTCTGTATACTTCTTTCGCTTCTGCCACTATCATATCTCTCCTAGCACACTTTTCCACACCTCTCATGCTCATAATCTTTCGCACCTTCAAACGCTCGTCCATTTGTTCTACCCAGGAATTTCTTGGTCATTCTCTGCTTCTCTTCCCTTTCACTCTTCTCAACTTTACTCTTTTCGGTAATTTTTCATTTCTTCTTTCAACAAGGCTAAACCACCGTGAGCGTTTTGTGTGACATTCACACCACAATTCTCTATGTTATCCTTATTTCTTGTGTAGTTCCTCTTCGTCACTTTACATACTTCCCTCATTTCACACTCAGTGATAAGACTTCTGTGCCTCTTCTGCCATGTCGAATAAGACAAGCCTTAAAATGTTAATTTTGAGTTAAAGTCAGATCTGTTTTCGTAGTCTAAAAGTTCTGAAACATAAAAATAAGATATTTAATGAATTGTTTTCTGTATTTATAAATTACTGCAATTGCTAAAATGTGAAATAACCTTTAGACTTTGGATATAATTTTATGCTCTTTACATAAAGTATATAATGTTTACACACGAATATATTTAAGAAAAGTGTGTATTTGAACGGAAAAAACAGAAAATTAAGCGTTGAATTAGTATATAAATTATAAGCTTTTAACGGTAACAATTAAATATCACGAATAGCATAACATATCAATAGCATAATACGGAAGTCCAGATTTTTCTTAATAAATTAAGAAAAAGCAAGTACTGTACAGTACAGGATAAAGATTTGAATGTGACAAACGAACTTATATACATATATAATAAAATATATGAGTTTACTCTTCATCCACAGTGTAAACGTGGGTTTTACACATTCTTATTCCGACCTCCTTCCCTAATATTGATTCTAGCTATGCTACTTATAACTATGTACAAGCTATATTAGGTAACGCTATGTATTGGGATATATTAGGCATTAAATAAGTAAATACCTAACCTACAAACTATGGTTACATATAACTATCCAATGTTTATAAAATATACAACACATTAAAATTAATCTAAATATCCCTTAAAATTGATTAATTAAAGCAAAAAATTCAAGTTTTTAGCATTCTTTTTAAAAAAACTAATGATGTATTAAAGCATATACTAATTTCATAGAAGTTGTTATTATTATTTATTAGTTCTTAGGCCACGAGGGTTCGTGATTGTCTTAGCAAATACTCTCATTTTTCTCTGTTAAGAGCTAACTCTCTCCAGCCAGTACCTTCTCCACGGATTTGTTTGTGTCCCTTCCGAATGCCTTATGTCAGTAACCATACCAATGTGTTGGAAACTGTCACGAACTCACTCAGTAAAAGGTCCCACTGAAGGTTTACGTGATACTATCAACACATTTGCTTTGCTCG